GCAGTAATTTAAAGCATTAGAAAAGACCCAATGAGAATTTTATTACTTCACTACAAACTATGATGATTGCAGTTATTTTTAAAATCTTAAACTAGTGAAGATCTATTTATCTGATGAAGCAAAGAACAGGATCAAATTTAAGATGCCTTGTCTCTTTCTCCTTCTTATATTCATGTCTATAAACCCCAAAGAAATATTCTCCATGAGCTAGTGATTCTCACAACTGTCAAGGATTGTCATAAATCATTATAGCTTCTGCAGTATAGGCCTGCTTTGTGATACAGTCATCAGACAGCTCCCATTTTGTATCATGTGATACCAATGGAATGCAATTGAACTTTGCAATTATTAATGAAAGGTCAACCGTGTCATACCTCCTCTGGCAATAAGGTGTGTCTAAATAAAATAACTAAACCCTAATCACAACACTAATCTAAAAACCAGAAAAGTGTGCCACGCCTCTTTCAGTGTGTCTTCTTTATGTGACCCTATTTTAGCATAATTTGTATGATCTGCAAGCTCATGAAACAAAACGTCCAGACAAAATTGACAAAATGATCTTAAAGTGGCCACAGTAAAGTTTTGGAGAATTTGGTGGACAGCTTTTGGACGAAATCATGTGCCATGGCTGCAAATATTGTCCATACATGTACAATACAGTATAATTGTATATGTATGTATGTATGAACTATGAATGAATTTTTCCATCACTTTTTTTATTTACCTTATTCATTCTTAATTCTTAATCTTTCTTTCACTTTCTTTTTCCTATCTCTTTCTTTCTCCTATTTTTGCTCTTTTTCTTTCTCCTCCTCTAAAAGTTTGAGAAGCAGCAAGGTTTTACATTCCTCCAGCTCTCAGTGGTTCAGTCTAACAGTCTCAATGAGAGTCTTTAAGAGTTAGTATGAGGTGACAAGCTTGAGGGGAACAACATGTACATCTGTGGCGAATGTCAATAGAAGGTATTCAAATATCAAAATAATACTAATAATAATTCTACCTCTTAACCCTTTACTCAGTGAGCAATTGCCAGTATAAAACCTACCAATTGCATTTTTTACAAATCAAAATCCCTTTAAATGAACCAATATAAGTGTGACACATAACTATAGTACTTCTGTGTAACATCTTTTTAATTAAAATTAATGATTTATTTTTATGTTTCTAGATGGACACTTTAAGCATACATGTATCAATAGTTTAAGACTCCTCCTCTTCCTACGCTGGTTGTAAATCTCAAGAGGTTTCACTATGATTGAGAGACTTACAGAGAAATTGAATCTAATAATTATTTTAAGGTAATGAAGTTTATGGGCAAAAGGGCAAAATTGCTTTTGAAACCAACCCAATTTTTGGAAAATTTTTAAGCGGATTTTGATTACAAAGGTTTGAGTTGTGACCATCCTGTATTGGCTTCAAAAGCATTCCAGTTTTTGTAATTGTCATATTAAAATCACCTTAAAATATTCCACTTTAAATATGGTATTTTAAAAGTTGCCTAAGACATTAGACCTAAAGCCGTATACACAGCTAAATGTATTATGAGTTGTGAGAAAGGTCTAGGCCTCTCTTCTATATTAATATATCCTCAATAAGGATCAGCTGGTCATTATTACCTTGTATATTATAATAATTAAACCACCAGTCATTAATGTACATGATTGTAGTAATGCTTTTGTCTTAATGGCCAAATTAAAAAACATGGATGGTTGTGTTACACACTTTTAAGAAAAAGGTACAAGTGCGAAAAAATTAGTACAATAATGACAGATGCACCAAAAAAGTTGTTTTGGGGATAGATACATGTTTCCTCTGCTTTATTTCGTATAAATCATGACAAATGACTACTGAATTCACACAAAGCCATGCTCACAATACTGGAGTGGAGAAGGAAGAGATTAAGACTATACAGCAAT